ACACACACACACACACACACACACACACACACACACACACACACACAGAATCGGTAGACACAGTTTAAACAAAAAAAGGAAAGAAAATTTATCTCCAGGGAAATGCAGAAGCTGGATGTGTCACCAAGTGGAGGCACACCTTCTCTTCTCCAAACACATTTTTATCAAAGAGTTCAGTGTTTTTACAGCTCAGTCGAACTTTAAACACTAACAAAATGCAGTCTGTCCGAAGCAGAAACCAAGAATTTTCAACATACTAAAACTCAAACCAACTGAAGAATCAATAATGTATTTTTTAATGCAAACAAACTGACTTCCTTCACACCTTAAATAGCACACTAGACAATACAAACATTTCACAGTCAATATAATGTATTTAAAACAAGTATTTAAAACAAAACAATACGTGCAGTGAGAGATTCAAATGTTTCTGTAAAGTGCAATATCTTTTTCACTGCTTTTCCAGCAATAATTGTAATAATCAGTGTGAAGAATTTGCTGAACTTTTGGTGTATGTTTCTTTCTTTCTTCTTTTTATTTTTTTTTCCTTTTGCACTTTTTTTAAATAAATAATTATATAAATATATAAATGAATAAATAGTCAGTGCATCTTTTTTCACTTCAATGTAGCAGAAAAAACAAATCTGTACAAAATTGTCCATTAACAAGATGACCTCTAAGATTCGCAAACTTAATTGTGAACTTAACACTGCACAGTAGTGTGTTTGCATGCATGTGTGGATGTGTATGTGCACATGCATGTGCATGTGTGCTTGGTTATTTTGCTTGGTTGGCCTGCAGTGGTATTCTACATTGAAAAATTATAAGAAAACCTATTTGAAAGGGAGATTTAAGTTGATTTCATTGATACATGTGTAGATTTTTTTATTTTACATTGTACAGGCACAGTGCACATAAACATTTTTGAGTACTTGCAAATTGGTTTAAAAAGAGTTTTTATAATGGTTTTATGCCAGTTTTAGACAGGTTGCAGGTTTTATACTGGTTTTCAAAAGATTGCAGGTTTTATACTGGTTTTCAAAAGGTTGCAGGTTTTATAAAACAAACATTTCTCTAATCATTTCTGTCGTAGCACTAAATATACATATATATATATATATATATAAAATGAATTCAGAGCTTGTTTTTTTTTGTTTCGGACAGGATGCCCAGGACTATATGAAACAGCACTGAGAACAGAATTACCTTACATTTACATATTTACATATGTGAGAGATATTCTTTTATCAAGTACTCAGGTATAATAAAATAACACTCAGACACTTCAGCAGTTTAACGTGCACGGGTGAGAGCTCAATGGAGACTCACACCCTGCAGCAGCTCTCTGCCTTTATTTATACACAGCATGAAGCATACAAAAAAGGAAATAACATGATTATCTAGTCGAGCAGGCAGGTGTAACTTCTCAAAACGTTGTGTTCTCTACAAGGTCGTTTCTTATTCTTGGGTGGCGGTTTCCTGCTGCTGACAGATAATGTGACGGCAAACAGTTTCCGTTATAGAGCAAAGAGCCAATGGTTAATTGTGCAGCTGGTTGAGTACAAACAGAAATATAAACACTCTTAGCTGATTATTATATGAATAATAAAACCTTTAAAAGCAAAAATCCTCTGACATGCGTAATCATGGGAACAAGTGGGTTTACAAACAGGAGCAGCTGATTAGCATTAGAAAAGCTGAAATAATACCTCAACTGAAGCCAATTGTACTAAATGCACTATATGTGCACTATTACAAGAATAATTTTCGTTCTATTGCTTTCTATTAATTTATATAATTTTAAGATAAGCAGGACAGAGTTCTTTAAAAGAAAGATTTACTTATATTCTCAAAAGTTAAGCATGACAGGCTTCTGTTTAAGAAAGAGACCTGTTTTA